TCCACTCACCTCAGCCTCCCAAAGGCACGGGATTACAGGCTGAGTCACCGAGCCCGGCATTATTTAAGATCTTTAAGAAGAGGAGCACAGCTTATTGGCTTCTGGTAATTGACACTAATGAAAGAAATAAAATGCACATTGATGAATATATTAAAAGGTTTATAGGCTGGGCTCGGTGGCTCAGCCTGTCATCCCAGCACGTTGGGAGGCCGAGGCAAGTGGATCGCCTGTGCCCATGGGTTCGAGACTAGCTTGGGCAACTTGGCGAGACCTGGTCTCTACTAAATCAAAAATTAGCCAGGCATGGTAATGCGTGTCTGTAATTCCAGCTACTTGGAAGGCTGAGGCAGAAGGATCGCCGGAGCCCAGCAGGTCGACGCTGGGGTGGCCGTGAGTGTGCCACTGCACTCCAGCCTGGGCAGTGGAGTGAGACTCCGACTCAAATAAATAAATAATTTATAAGCAGAGCGATAAGTTGCAAGTGAATATACTATCACAGAAGTACTTTTCTATTTATACTTTCTCTTTAAATAAAATTATGTTGTGGCATGGGTATAAATGCATCTCTCTGTCATGAATCTCAAACAATGACTTCTAGCCCTGACCACCTCCTCTAACTTTGGGTTCACATATAAACTGTTTTTTGTATTTTTTGTTTGTTTACTTTGATCATTGAATGACTAACAGTTCAAGTATGACATGTCAGTAGCAGGAACCTTTATTTCTCACTCTCTGCCTCTCCCCAACCCATCCTGCCTGTCTTAACATTTCACATAGCAGCACCGTCGATTGACTCAGTTGCTCAGGCAAGTACGTTGCAGCCATTATTTGTTCCTCTTTTATTCATCACCTTCCACATTCTCCACAAGCAAGAAGCATGGCCCCTCTGTCCAAAATGTGCCTCTAACCCATTTGCTTTTCCTAATATCCCTTGTTGCCCACTGCAGTCCAGTCTGCCAGCATCTCTCACCATGAGTAATGCAGCAGCCTCCTGTCAGATCTCTCTCTGCCTCTATACTTGTCCCCAGCAATTCACTTTCTTTTGTAATTAAATTTTTATGTCACACTAACATAATTCACATGCATTGTTCTACACCCTAATTAAAAACAAGAGTTCCCTGCCTCTCCACTTGCCAAAGGAAAGTCACAATTCATATCCAAGATGAGGGCACGAGAAAGCTTACTGTGCATGATGCAGGGGGTGAAGCTGAGGGTGACTGGATTTCACCGTAGGATGATCAGAAAGAGACCCTGTAACTATAGGTCTTTTCGTTTGGGTTGCTCGGAAAATTAAACTCTCCTATCCTGGTGTAAGGTGTGAGATGTGGATGCAGCTTTTTCCCCCACAGTGTTAACCGATAGAGGTGCTGATTGTTAGATATAGTGTATATTTTCCTTATTAGTATAAATCCCATCTTTATAACATACTAAATTCCTATTTTGGGGAGAGGGGTCTCTAGATTTTACATGCTTTTGCATGAGTCCCTGTCTATTCAGGTTACAGCACCACACTGTGTTAGTTACTAATTCTTTAGAGTGTGTTTTATTATCTGATTATTATTGATTGCTCTTCTTTTTCAGGGGTTTCCCGCCTATTCCTTTTTTGTTTATTTTTCCATATGGATTTTAGAATCATGAAACTTAAAAATTAATTTAGTGAGAATTTACATGTTTATGAAATAGAGTTTTATTTTTTTTTTTGAGTTGGAGTCTCACTCTGACGCCCAGACTGGAGTGCAGTGGCTGCTCCCGGCCACTACATCCTTGACCTGCTGGGCCCCGGCGATCCTTCCGCCTCAGCCTTCCAAGGAGCTGGAACTACAGGCACGCACTACCACGCCCGGCTCATTTTGATTTATTGTAGAGTTGAGGTCTCGCCAAGTTGCCCAGGCGGATCTCGAACCCGTGGGCTCAGGCAGCCCACTCACCTCAGCCTCCCAAAGGCGTAGGATTACAGGCTGAGCCACTGAGCCCGGCTGAAATAGAGTTTTCTTACCCAAAAGGATAGTATGGCTTCCCGTTTGTTCAAGTCTGCTTTTGTGCCCTTCAGCGGTGTGTTCTGCATATATGTCTTGCATATTCCTTGCACACCTTCTCTACTCTTAGAAATCTTATCTTTTGAGGTTTATTTTTGTTTTTTTTTTTCTGTTTGGTTGTTATCTATGTACCTGAAATCTATTTCCAAATGAATTTTTTATCCTATTACTCAACTCTCTTATCATGAGTAGCAATTTTTCAGTTGACTGCCTTATGGTGTGAGGAATACAACCATTGCATTTTCATATCATGACAGTTTGACCTTCTCCTTCATTGTAATACTCCTGATTTGTTTCTTTGATCTGATTGTGTTAATGACGCCTTCATTACAACAGCTGTGTTGGCTAGCAACCTCGCTTTGTTCCTGACTCTCATGGGAATGTGAGCGTCTGCCTGTTTAGCATGATATTTGTTTTGGAACTGGCATGTGTATCTGTGTGTTTGGAATCTAGGCTGGATACAGTGGCTCACACCTATAATCCCAACACTTTGGGAGACCAAGGCAGGAGGATTGCTTGAGCCCTGGAGTTCGAGACCAGCCTGGGCAACAGAGTGAGACCTCATCTCTTCAAAAAATCAAAAAGTAGCTGGGTGTGGTGGTGCATGCCTGTAGTCCCAGCGACTTTGGAGGCTGAGGTGGAAGGATCCTTGAGCTTAGGGGGTGAGGGCTGGGATGAACTGTGATCCGTGCCACTGCCTTCCAGCCTGGGTGACAGAATGAAACCCAACTCAAAATAAGTAAAATCTAAACTGCAATATGGATGAGTAAATATTTATACTTTTTAAAATACTTTTGGCTGAATATTTGTTTCATGAATCCCTTTCATTAGTCTGTTGCTTCAGCCTCTTCTGTGGCTTCTATTTCTTTTCAGTGGTCTGACAAGCCCTGTGTGCCCCATTTGCTCCAGAGGGACAGTTACTACGTTTATACCCAGCAAGAGCTGAAGGAGAAGCTCTATCAAGAAATCATCTCATATTTTGACAAAGGCAAAGTGAGTGTTGGGTTGCTTTTGTTCTAGGGGAAGGAGGAGAATGAGTACAAAACCGCGATGCAATTCTGATGCTCACCGCTCGGAATTAGCACAGACTGCACAGTCAGGGGCACCATTCCCAACAAGCCTGCCCTCGCCACAGTGGTTTGACTGCATGTTGGGAGATCCCCACACCATCTGCCCTTCTGACCAGCTCCCTGTACAGTTGGCGAGTTCCCACAACATCCTCGGGTTTGATCATCTGTTGTCATGACTTAACACAGCAAAGTGCTCTCTTTAATTATAATTTTGTCATAAAGACTGAAGATCAGGACCAATGAAATGAAGATAAAGAAACATATAGGATATGAACATACAGGATAAAGGTTTGGGAGCATTTCAAACACATGAAGCTTCTGTGTGCTCTGCTCCCCCTATCCCACCCCCAAACTCAGGACACGTCACTTTCTCAGCAAATCAATGTGTTCTCCAACTAGGAAGTTCTACCCAATCCTCAGTGTACAGAGTTTTTATTAGGGTTTCATTATGTGGGCATGATAGGTTGAATCATTGACTACGTGACTGATCTCCAGCCTTTTCTCCACCGTGGAAGTCAGGCTGATATCATGTGGCTCAAAGCCCTAACCCTCTAATCACATGGCTGGTTTTTCTGGCATGTCGGCCCCCATCCTGAGACTGTGTCTAGGAGCCCTCCATAACTTACCCCAGTAGCATAGATTTCAGGTGTGATCTTCGGGCACCCACCAGGAATAACAAAGATAATCCTACTACTTGGGACAGTCCACAAATTTAGAAGTTCCATCCATATCGTTGAGACAAAGATCAGATACTTTTTTTTTATACAACTGTGCCTGGTGACTTATTCTCTATTGTTCCTTTGTACGTTTTTGAATTCTGATATTTATAATGGAAGAGAAAAATAAATGGATAAATTAAGGTATGAAAGGCAATACAGATCATTCATCTGGAAGCCATTGCTGCAGTGTTAAATAGAACGGGCAGCCCAGAGCCCCATTTTCCATAACCATAATTTCACCTTTTAAATATTGCTGGGGTTCAGCTGGTACCATCATTTTCTAGGACTTCTCAAGGGATTGTAGGTGAACACATGGTACATACCCCCCCCCAAGTCACTACCTGCTTGACACCATAGGCTATAGGAAACAAGCAACTTAAATGTCCACAGGAGCAAAAAGATAAAATAAACATAGGAACTGGACCAGGAAGTTGTGGAGTCTCTGGTCAGTTGGAGAAAGCATGTCCAGCTGAAAGGCCTTTTAATTGAAAATGAAGGAAGTAAAAATAGAGGATTGAGAGAGAAAGAAAGAAAAATTCATTGTGCTGTCCAAACAAAAGAGATCATCAATCCAGGCAGTTTCAAGTGACCGAGTAGTTCTTGTTTAGTCAGTGAAACCTGTTAATTACATTACCAAATGAATTAATAAATAAGCTAAGTAATCAAGACAAAATAGATGTCATCTCCTTAGTGCTAATTACTGCTTTGGATTATTTTGAGAGCTTTCTTCTAATTTAATTCTTCCTAAAGCCCTGTTAATATTATCTCATTTTACAAGTGAGGAATTTGAGGCCCGGATAGAAAGTAAAGCTCAGACTGTCTGGTTTCTGTAACCTTTACCCTCTTAAAAGTCACCGAGGCCAGGCTCAGCTCAGCCTGTAATCCCGCGCTTTGGGAGGCTGAGGTGAGTGGATTGCCTGAGCCTGCGGGTTCCAGACCCGCCTGGGCAACTTGGCAAGACCTCATCTCTACAGTAAATCAAAAAATTAGCCAGGCGTGTTAGCGCACACTTGTAGTTCCAGCTACTTGGAAGGCTGAGACGGAAGGATCATCAGAGCCCAGCAGGTCGAGGCTACGGTGACTGGGAGCGTGCCACTGCACTCCAGTCTGGGCGACAGAGTGAGACTTCAACTCAAAAATAAAAAGTTACCGAGGACCCCAAAGCACTTTAGTTTATGTGGGTTCCGACTGTTGATGTTTATACTCTTAGAAATTAAAGCAGAAGCATTTTAAATATTTACTTATTGTCTTAACAATATTAATAAACAGTGTAGCTGTTAACATAAATTGTATACATTTATGAAAAATTATTATATTTACGAAAGAATTAATGATGTAAGTGGTATTATTTTTGCACATCCCATTGATGTCTGGGTTAATGGAAGGTGGCAGGATTCTCCTCCCTGCTTCCACATTCTTTCCATTGTGAAATCACACATCGTGTAACCTCTGGAAAGCGCCACTGTTTATTTATGAGAGAATGAGTATGGAAAAAGGCCAAGTATTAGGAAGATGGTTTTGACCTCATGGACCTCTTGAAAGGGGCTTGAAGACTCCCAGGGGACAAACACCACACTTTGAGAACCACTGTGCTATTCATTCTCCCTGTCTCTTATGTAACAGAGCATCTGGGGAAGAAAAGGAGGAACTTACCGGGAGTGCTTCACTGGACACTTCTGGGACTGGCTTCTTCACCAAGCCCACCTGATCTGGAATGGCTTTCCTATGGCTCATTTCAGAATCTTTTCAGCGACCCAGGCTCTGAGATTTCAGAGGGGGCAAATTTGGCAAATGATGATTTTTACAGGATTTAATTTAGGCCAGACTTGGTGGCTCAGCCTGTAATCCCAGCATTTTGGGAGGCCAAGGAGAGTGGATTGCATGAGCCTGCAGGTTCGAGACCAGCCAGGGCAATTTGGCGAGACCCTCTCACAACAAATCAGAAATTAGCTAAGCACAGTGGTGTGCCCCTGTAGTTCTAGCTACCTGGAAGGCTGAGGCAGAAGGATCACTGGAACCTAGCAGGTCGATGCTGGAGTGACCGTGAGCATGCCACTGTACTCCAACCTGAGCAACAGACTGAGACTCCAACTCAGAAAAGAAAAAAAAAAGATTTAATTTAAAAATTTTCATGGCTAGGCACAGTGACTTACACCTGTAATCCTAGCACTTTGGGAAGCCAAGGCAGGAGGATCACTTGAACCCAGGGGTTTGAGACTAACTTGGGCAACATAGTGAGACTTCATCTACAAAAAAAAAAAAACTCAAAAATATTAGCCAGGTATGGTGATATGCCTGTAGTCCCAGCTACTCAGTAGTCTGAGGCAGAAGGATCACCTAAGCCCAGGAGGCCAAGACTGCAGGGAAGTATGATTGTGCTACTACATTCCAGCCTGGGCAGCAGAGTGAGACCCCACTCAGTCAATCAGTGAATCAATCCATCAAGTCTCACAATCGCTTGTGGGCTGCACATACATTTCCTCGGCAGCCAGAAACAGTGGAACATAGTATGTAGCTAATAAGGACAAAGTAAGGAAGTACCAGATGTTGCATTTTGAATAGTATTCATCCTAGAAACATTTCATGAAAGACCAAAATGATGAGAAGTCTCCATCTGGGATGCCAGCCTTGGACACGGAAGGTGTGCAATAACTGTAACTTACATGGTCACATGCACTCTAAGGCATTTTCTAAAACACTTATCCAGTAAGTAGAGAAATCAGGGCCCTACGTGGAAAAAGTTTGCCACATCCTTCACAATAGTCTTTTTTTCATCCTCACAAACAACCTGCCTACACACGCACAGGCAGACACACACCTAAAACCAGAGTCCCACAGACACCTTCTTTTCTGTCCTGCACGACTTGCACATTCTCAGGACGTCAAGAGGAACCATCAGCAGCACTTTGCTCTGTTTGGAGATACGTGGTATTCTTCATGTCCTTGCAAACAGAATTGCAAAAGACACCTCCTGGCAAAAGAGCCATGATACCCTGTCTTCATGATGTCAGGGAACAAAGGTTTAGTTGATCCAAGGGCTGAAGCAAGTTAGGAGTTGCTACAGAAACTCAACCCACCTGGCTTTCACTCCTCCCTGGTGACTCTCCAGTGGCTTTTGCCACGGGATCTGTGACTGCTTTGTTCTCCACTTTTAACCCTACTTTTCTTCTTCTGAAGATGTGGGAGAAGGCGATCAAACTGAGCAAAGAACTGGCTGAGACGTACGAGAGCAAAGTCTTTGACTACGAGGGCCTTGGCGATCTCCTGGTAAGTCTGGGTCAAACTACGTAAAGCCTCCGACACTGTTGCTAGAATTAGTGCTCATGAAAATGTTTTGGTAAGTTGGAGACAGGGTGAACAATATTCTTTACAATGGAAACGTCAACCTCGCTTGAAATAAAAATGAAAAAAGATGTGGTCCCAAGGCTTTGGTCGTTATTTCTCCAAATTCTCCTTCGCGGAAGGTTTGGGGCTGTGGTTACCTCGAAGGGGTGGTAAAATTTTGGCCTTTGATAATAGCGACCAGGTTTGCCTTCTCCTGCAAGGTTCAGGATCCCCTCTGGTAGTTCATTCTTCCTGGTGGTATATGTTTTCTTTTTTTTTTTTTTGTGAGTTGGAGTCTCACTCTGTCACCCAGACTGGAGTGCGGTGGCACGCGCCCACCCACTGCAGCCTCGACCTGCTGGGCTCCGGCGATCCTTCTGCCTCAGATCCTTCCAAGTAGCTGGAACTACAGGCGCGCGCTACCACGCCCGGCTAATTTTTTTTATTTATTGTAGAGATGAGGTCTCACCAAGTCGCTCAGGCGGGTCTCGACCCCACAGCTCAGGCAATCCACCTGCCTCAGCCTCCCAAGGCGCGGGATTACAGGCTGAGCCACCGAGCCTGGGTGGTGTGTTTTCCTGTGGACCCTCCATATTCCTGGTCATCTCTTCTTCACCTCTCTCACTCTGCCATCCGTTAGCACTGTCCATATTTCAGACATTTTTGGCCATCATCTGATCATCAGAAATTGCTTCTTATATGGTCCACATCTTCAAGGCCCTGAATGAGTGAACTACTAATCTTTAAGGCTTCCTTTATTTTTCCAAGAGTGTCATTGTGCACAGCTTGGTGAGTTGAAAATACCTCACCAGATCTCGATTCTCTTCTGCCATCTTTCTCCTGAACGTCACGGGGCTACTTGATGTTTACGGTTCCCTGAACCTGAGTATTGTACTTGGATGTAGGCCCAGTTCAACTACTTAAAAGCAATATAGCAGGCCACATGTGGTGGCTCCCGCCTATAATCCCAGCACTTTGGGAGGCCAAGGCAGGAGGATTTCTGGAGGTCAGGAGTTCAAGACCAGCCTAAGCCACATAGCAAGCCTAAGCCATGGAATGATAGTTTATTTGAGGAGCGGTTTATCAAGATCATTTTGTAAAAAATTTATCAACACACCATACCAACTCCTGCCATCACACAGAAAAATAAAAGGCAGGCATGGTAGCATGTGCCTGTAGCCCCAACTGTCGGAAGACTGAGGCTAGAGGATCCCTTGAGCCCAGGAGCTCAAGGTTACAGTGAGCCATGATCATGCTATTGCACTCCAGCCTGGGTGGCAGAATGAGACCCTGTGTCTCAAAAGAAAAAAGAAAAAGAAAACAAAAATAGCCTTCTGAATACCCAGTGGTAGGCAAATACAATATTGCGTGTGATAATTTTTAGTAGAGAAGTTACAAAAGGTTAGGTCACTCATTGCCATGGAATGATAGTTTATTTGAGGAGCGGTTTATCAAGATCATTTTGTAAAAAATTTACCAACACACCATACCAGCTCCTGCCATCACACAGAAAAAAAAAAAGCTCACGTATTGATTTCATCAACCAAACTGAGGTAAGATCCTAGTAATATAGCATGTTGCCTAAGAAAACGTTATCCTTATTGTTTTTATCATTATTATTTTGAATCAGGATCTCACTCTGTTGCCCAGGCTGAAGTGCAGTGGTACCATGACGGTTCACCACAGCCTTGAATTCCTGGACTCAAGTGATCCTTCCACCTCAACCTCCCTAGTAGCTGGGGCTATAGGTATGTGTCACCACACCCAGGTGATTTTTTTTTGTAGAGATGAGGTCTTTGCTATGTTGCCCAGGCTGGTCTTAAACTCCTGGATTCAAGCAGTCCTCTTGCCTTGACTTCCCAAAGTGCAGGGATTACAGGTGTGAACCACCATATCTGTCTGAAAACATTATTTTGACAGAGACATTCGCCTGGATAGAGTAGTAATATTAGCATGCTAATTATTGTGGGGGAGGGGGTGAGGGCATCTCTCAAAGCCCCTAGGTCTGGCTACCTGTTTTGCTTTCTTTAAGATCAACTCTTTGAGCCTGAGCCAGGAAGCTATGTCCCTTGTGGAGAATGAAAGACAAAGGTGGTACCAAGCCGGGCTCAGTGACTCAGCCTGTAATCCCACGCCTTTGGGAGGCTGAGGTGAGTGGATCGCCTGA